TAATTTTTTACAAAATTTGGTAACCGTTTTAGAACGGGTGTCGTAGGGTGCTAACACCTTCCCTACACTCAATCGACTCCCGAACCAAAAATCTGTTTTCGCAGACCGAGTTTTTTTTAATAGGTGATCAATTGCATCTCGTGAATGATTGATGGCGACTCCAAACCCTTATCCGAGAGAGACCCTTCAGGAGATGACATCAGCTACTCCACGTTGCGATGACGTTGCGACATGACCGAACCATGAATTTGAGCTCTATTTGAGTCATGACCCAATTTGATATCAAAAGGTTTGGGCTTGGGTGATTTTGAACCCAGCCCTGAACTTGGGCTTGAGTGATTTTCGACTTAGCCAATTATGTAAGTAGATTTAGACTTTCTCAAATTTAAGAGGAATAAGTACACAACTAGCCTATTTGGAAATTAAAATTACAAAATTTGCTTAACTATTAAGAATTTACAATATTGTCCAAAGATTGGCCATAAGAAAATTACCAATTAGTCATTTGTAATATTATATTTAATTAAAAAAATAAACACAAAATCATAAAATCGAATCCCTAAAACTATGGAGCCCAAATTTCTCATTTATTTGAAAACCCCAAACCCCTAAAATCACTCACTCGACATCAATTTTTTTTATTGCTTGGCATTTTCCTGTGGAAGACCACCAACACAAGTGGCTGCTGCTATTGACTGATTGCTTGGCATTTTGCGGCAGAGGACTACGTCAATTCCATCAGCTGCTGCTATTGACTGATTGCTTGGCATTTTGCGGGAGAGGAATGCGAACCCATATTCTCTAGCGTTTTAGCTCTGATACAGCAGCAGTACATATTTCTAGCGAATCCTTTTCTCTTATGCCTTCGTCAATTCCATTGGCTAGCTAAGACCTGACTGCTTTCAGAAGTGTGGTCCATTGGAGTTTAGGATCTAGGGAAAAAAATTTGACTCTCATTGCGTAGAGGTATATGTAACATATACCATTGTGGGTATATGTTTTACATTCTCCATAAAAATTTTATTTTATTTCATACGCGTTTGGTTAATTTCGTGGGCAAATCATGAGTATTAGTTGTTCATAAATAATATATACAATTACATTTTGATTGTCTTTGACCCACATTAGAGCGTTGTAGGTTATATATTACAAACTGCTATGTTAGATGGTGGTGCATATGTAATTTCCTTATCAGAGATATGTATTGATGTGATCATAATTGACCAAGAACTCCAAGAATCGAACTACATCAATAAAGAGGAAGATCAAAGGGACAGACCCCCTAAAAGGAGGAAGCTACATTGGACCCATCACCAAATTTTGACAATCTTGGAGGACTAAAAGAAACCATCAAGGGTGAAGAAGAAGAGGAAGAACGGGAAAGAACCAAGGCAAGGC